ACAACTTTTAGTTGTTCGTGGAAAAAAATTGAAGATAATAATGGTGGGTACTGCTGCTGAAACAATGATTTTAACTGATGATCACCAATTAAGGTTTCTTTAAATGTAAAGGTAGTATTTTAAAAAGATAATCGAAAAAAAAGGACCGAAACATTTTTTTCTTTTTTGAGCTATGTATTTGTTTGAATTTACCATAATTTAGTTCATTGTAACTTCTTTTTCCTCATTCTTTTTTTCTGACGGTGATTGAAAGAAAAAAAAAAAGGATATCAATTTGAGTTTTTTAATATTTAATTTTCTAATTTTGTTGAATTTTTTAATTTTGGACATCTGCTAAAATTTTCAACACATTCTGACAGCAATCACTGTTGAGAGTTATGTTCGGATGGTTAACTGATAATTGTTGAAGGTGCTATAAGATGGAGACTGCGGAAACAAAAAAAAATGCTGAAATATTTGATCGCCATTTTTGTGTCAGATATATGCATATAATTGTATTTGTTTGGGCAAAAAAAAATTATCAGTTTTGGCCGATCGTTTTTTGGTCCGTAAAAATTGAATTTAACCCTTTGACAATCAACAGTTCCTATCTATTAGTTTATCAGTTTTTTTTTTTTACCGGGCTTCTCGGTTTCACCATCACTGATTCAACAGTGATATCTGGAAGAAGAAGAAGAAGAAGAAGAAGAAGAAGAAGAAGAATACAAGAAAAAAGGGCTACTTTTTTTTTTGTTCAACTTATTATAAACATACTTTCTCTCTTATCTGTGTGTCAGAAATTTAATTTTTGTTTTTTTTTTTTTTTTGTCTGCTGAAATGATGACAAAAAAAGGAAGTTTTTGTTTTTATCAAAATTTATTAAAAAATGTTAAGCTAATGCTTATTAGTCTGCAATTTTTAATGAGCAAAAAAAAAGCAGAAGAATATTCTGATGTTTACTGACAATTATCATCGGTAATTGATGATAATATTGGTGTTTATTTTTATTGTTGATAAATGTGAGAAGAAAATTTTTTTTTTTTTAGTTTATATATGATTTGTTTAGCCAAA